GGGTGCTACTGAGTGCTCAATTTTCCTGGCCTCATGGCCTCAGCATATCGGACTGGGGGGGGGGGGGGCACGTTACGCAGGTGGAGTTGGAGGCCGTGGAGAAAGGCGTGTCTTGTGTTCATGATGCACCTTGTCTGAGAAGGAAAATGGGGAGGAGAAGTCCTCCCCCGAGATGGGGCCGCGGATGTATGCGAAAGCGTTCCTGTGGCCCTGCCAATATGCGGCGAAGGTGGAACACCATGAGTAAGGATTGCAAAATACAGATTTTTTTTGAAATCCGAACTTCTGAATTTTCCTATAATTGAAATCCGGATAATCCGGATTTTTCGAAGTTTTATGGTGATTTTCTGAAAATTGATGAAAAACAGCATAAATCATTTAAAATCAGCATTTATTCAGACACGACAAAATGAAATCAACTAAAATAAACAACAAAACACAGTCATTAACCTAAACATACCATAAAATCAAATGCAACAAAACGTATTTAGTTATAAATCTTTTTTATTAAACTGTAGTTTTGAAAAAACGAATGTTTAAGGTAACTCAGTTTATTTATATTAATCAATTTTTTTAGTAAAATAGATCTTAAAAACATGAAAGCGTCAAATGTCTCATCGTTTAGAGGTGATTTTATTTTATTACAGACTCAACACTGGTCAGCGGTATGGAAAGCAACCTGTTTAAAACTTTTTTTAGGATTTCTCCACGACTTCCATTGTTTTCAAATAAAGCCATTTCAACGTGAATCATTGAAGGAAAATCAGTTGCGCTGATTACACTCGTTGACTGTTGTTGATCACTACCCACATTTGCAAGAGAAAGTTTTCGATTGAGCTTTTCTTTAAAACTGAGCGGCGATGGATCTGAACTATCGCACAAAGTTTCTGGAGGAGACATCGTATTAGTCGACGTGGTCGTGCAGTCGTCAACATCCAGGGATGCAGTGTTATCAATTCTATCGAATACATTTTTAGTTTCTTCATACGTAGGTTTTTTAAATATGTCTTCTCGTCTTCCTCAGTCTCATTTCAAAATTGATTAGGGTTGTGTAAGTATTGTAAGGCGTCGACAACATTATAGAGTCGCGTCTCTTTAATTCTCCGTTTCAATGAAATTGCCAGTTGCCTGGGAGACATCATGTCTTGGCTGTCTAATGATTTCATTAAAAATTTAAGAGCTGTATCCGCCCTTAGAATGTTAGCATCTCTGCGGCAGAGTACTTACACAGTAGTTTTGATCATGTCCAAACCAATTTGCAGATTTTCTAGACATAAGATTTCTATATCTGAGAATTTAATACCAGATTTCATATCAATCAATGCCTTCTGTATGCATAATTTTAGCTTTGAAAATCGTTCCAGCATAATTGATAGACTGCTCCACCTGGTTTTGCAGTCTAAGAGTAGTTGTAACTCTTTTCCAAATTCAGCTTGGACATATTTTTGGAGCGTGGCGTCGTTATTTGTAGATGAGTTTTTAAATATCTTCACCACTGACCGGACTTTTTTAATTATTTTCTTATATTCATCACTCAGCACTCCGTGTCTCCGTGAATGCTCGACAACAAATCCGTCATCAATGTCATTATCAGAGTTTTCAGTTGAGTCAGAGTCTGAGCATATTTCCGAATCCTCACGTGGCTATTGATTTTTTTTTTGTATAAAACATCTTGTACAGCCTGTTGCACACCATGTGCAAGGCATAATTGATGAAACGAAATGAGGGCATCCTACGACTTTTTCTGCCACCAGGGCGGCACCACTTTACAGTGGGGTAAAATCTTTGACAGATGGCTTAGCGGGAACGATAATTTCTTAGGAAAATGTAATCTTTAGGTTTCTTTCTCTATTATTACTTATACTTTATATTAATTACATTAGAAATGAATAAACCAAACTATAAATATAATTAAAAGCCGATTCCGATCTTTAAAAAAAGGGTAACCTATTTTTAAAAAAGAGTTACGAGGGTGGATTGAAAAGTACTCGGCCTAACCAAGAAAATAAACACATACTAAATCAGTTATATTTTTATTTTTCTACATAATCACCATCAAGTTCAATACACTTTTGCCACCTCCCCTTCCAAGCATTTAGACCGTTGAAAAAAAATGATTCTTCCTTAGAGTCAAAATATGCGTCTACAGCTGCTTTGACCTCGTCGTTTGTCGAAAATCTTTGACCTCCCAAGTGCTTTTTTAGGTTAGGGAACAGAAAGAAGTCGGATGGTGCCAGATCAGGTGAATACGGCGGATGCGGTAACAGTTCAAAGCCACAGTTGTGAATTTCAGCCATTGACTGTACTGACGTGTGAACACGGGCGTTATCTTGATGAAACAGGACTTTTCTTCTGAGCATTCCTCGACGTTTTTCTTTTATTTCCTCTCGTAAACGACGTAGTAAGGTGCAGTAGTAATCAGAGTTTATATTCTGACCCCTTTCAAGATAATCAATCATAATCACACCTTTCGAGTCCCAGAATACTGAAGCCATCACCTTATTTGCCGACAAAATCGACTTAGCCTTTTTAGGGGGTGGTGAACCAGGTCTTCTCCACTGTTTTGATTGTTGTTTTGTTTCCGGTGTACAGTAATGAACCCATGTTTCGTCCATAGTAACAAAACGATTCAAAAAATCATCTGCATCGGCTTCAAATAACTCCAAACAGTCGCGTGAAATAGTCAATCGCGTCCTTTTTTGTTCAACTGAAAGCAGTCGCGGAACCCACCTCGCAGACACCTTGTGGAAACCTTTTGATGATAGCCCCTTCTTATGGAGGTACTTAATGACGGCACGCTGCTCGATTTGCTCCATTCGCGGAAATTATGTCCGATTACTTTGTTAATAAATTTATAAAATTACAACTAATTATCGCACACGTTTCGAACTTCACACAATGAACTAGTCTGAACTGAACTAAATAATGTGGGTAGATTTGATTTTTAGAATTGAATGGATCTGTGTTAGGCCGAGTACTTTTCAATCCACCCAGGTATAATGTGCAAAAAATTAAAAATCAAACCACTAACACATTGTGCTGTGTATTAATATAATACTCTAGATAATGATAAACTATTATTTAAAACTAATTTCTCAATTAACTGACACTGTGTAACGAAAAACTTTACAGTCACAACTAGCGACATCTGGTGAGTGGAAGATTATTAGCCCTCATTGGCAGAATACGCCCAAGCTTCGCCATGACAGCTGCGCCGTTAGTTGTTAATCCATTGATGTCTTTGTCCAAATAAATTCCGAAAGAATCTTATCTTATTTCTATGAGTGAAACAGCTTCAGCTCCCATAGACCCTACAATCCTTACTATTCCCAGATTTTTTCAGACATTTTCGCCATCATCATTTTGAAAATGAATATTTAAATTTAGGTATCGATGAGATTTAATTGAGGTCCACTCATCAAGAGTGATTGACCATTTGGTATTTTTAGTCTTCATAACTTTTATTACATTAAGAGACAATTTTTCTGTGTCACACATGTCCATTATCATTTTTTTTATTGAATTTGGTGACTTTGGGATGCCTTCTTTATAATTTTTTTGCATTAATTGTCTGAGATCTGCCGACGAACAAAATACTTGTAGCGGTAACCCGTATAAAACGACCATTCTTGATATAACGCTAGTTAAGTCTTTGCTTTCATAATAGTCGGTCATTTATTGCTTTTTAGCAAATGGAAGACAACTTTTGCTAGTTGAAGCTGTGCTGAAGTTGGGGGATGAAGCTGCTCGCGTCCGAAGGAATTATTTGAACCCTGATTCCCTACACGTATCCCCTGGATAGTGCTAAACGAACAGGACTACATACTAGTGGTAGGTTGGTCCTCTACTAGTGAGAGGCCCGGCCGAGGGTTAGTTACCACCCACCTGGCAAAGACATACCGCCAAATGATGCAAATCGTGTTCCGGTATGATGTTAGGTGAAACCCATTTCTTAGGGAGAATGGGTCTGGACAGTTGCGTTGCGCATACAGACCGGTTGCGACGCGGCCGTTACTTAGTGTCGGGTGCCTGGTTATGGAGGTTAGCGGGATCCGAAGCACGGTTGCATCGCTGGCCGACCGTAGATAGTTGGGGGCCCAATTAATGAGCCAGCCACTCATGAAAGGCTGCCCCGCCCTCTTATGAAAAATCCTGGGATGGCTCCACCATGCCGGTTGGCGACCGGAGGAGAGGGCCTGGTGGCGATTTCCAGGGGGGTTCGGGCGTCCCCGCGATCTCCATGCTAGGTACCATCGATGCTATGACTCTGTTTGCGTCCCTAGGTTATATGTGTGACGCCTCGTCCAACTGCTATTCTCTCAACCTATTTACTCCCAACATTAATGAAAAAAAGGAAAAAGAAGAGTAAATTTGTACTGCGGTTGCACTCCCTCTCCATTAAAGTGCTTCTCACAAACATCCGAGGCCTGCACTGTAATCTTAATGCCACCTTGTCCATTACCACCTTGAGACTGACAAGCCGCACTCACTCTTCTTGACTGAGACGCAGGTCAGATGTCCTCTAGATGCGGCGTACCTTGGCTACAATGGGTACACATTGGAGCATAATTTCCATCAGCGCGCCGAAGTCTGTGTTTACGTTCGACATCTGCTGTAAGCGTCTCCGTCACCTTGAAGATCCCACTTTCTCTACGATCTGGGTAGATAGACACAGGAATGGATAAAATTATTTATTCTTGTGTCTACCGATCGCACAGCGGCGACCAGGAGACAACTAGGCTGTTTGAACTCATAATGTTCCAAGAACTTCGTAATGTGATGTGAGTGTGACGTACATTGTGAGTGTGATTTATCAGCATGTATAGTCAAGAATTTTGGGAATACATCACAAACCAGACTAGGCTGTATGGTCTTAAACCCATGATAGAGTGCCTTTAATTTGACATTTGAATTTGTTTCTCAAAATCTCAAATGATTTCTTGAATGAATAAAATAATTTCAGTAAATTAATTAATAGAAAAACTAAAACTATATATAAAATGACAGAATTGCTACTTGATCCTAATATACGTGTTTGGGTTTTTCTACCTATCGTGATTATCACTTTCCTTGTTGGTATTGTAAGACATTATGTTTCAATTATTTTATCGTCACAAAAGAAAATTGAACTTTTGCAAGTTCAAGACAGGTAACAGAAATATATGTTATTTACATTCATATTGGTAAATTATAGAGGTCGTGAATCTCGGCAGTTAGTAATTTCACACATTTTTTTCAGCCAAGTAATGATCCGAGCCCGCTTGCTTCGTGAGAATGGCAAGTATCTACCCCGGCAGTCTTTCGCGATGCGTCGACATTGGTTCAATAACGAAGATACTGGTTATTTTAAAGTTCAGAAGCGAGCAGCAACTTCACAGGTTATATATTTTACTATTAAACATTGTTAGCAGGGCAAGTAATCCTTTAATACAATTAAGGAAAATTTTAATTTATTATTACTGTTAATTTATTTAATTCAAGGTTTTTTAGTGTTGTTAAATTATTATGTTTCAGTAAACATTATCAGTGTAGTCTTGTAAAGAACAACATTATTAGTAAATAATAGAGATGGGCCCAACTTGGGTTACAGTGAATATAAATATTTCGCTAAATTTTAAACAAATCTAATCCCCAACCAAATATTCAGTATAAAGCCCGCTTTTCACTATGGGATATAATATAATATATATTACATCTTGAGATATAAATTAATATCGCTCACCATACATTTCATATGGAACCGTTTACACTGAGCTATAATATATATTACATCTCAAACTATAAATATTTTTTCGATCGACCGAGCGATATTTTCATATTATATTTCGCCCCCTGTACCGCGCACACCGTTTCGCGCACCCTCAGAACGATGTACGGGGTAAAGGGAGGGTAATTCAATGACCAATTACGAACGCACACTAGTTAAAAGATATATCTCACAGTGTGAAAGCCAATCGTAGGATATAATTTATATTTCGGGATATAATATATATTATATCCCATAGTGAAAAGCCAGCCTAATAGAGTATTTTACACCATGTAAAAAAAATCAAAGAATATATATTTATGATAGATTTTGTAAAAAGTAAACGAGAAATATTGATTTGATTTATAAAAATGCATTATAAATTTTATATTTCAATTTAAATAATATTTTTTTTTACCTGTGCCTCAAATCTGCAAAATAATGTCCACCCTATTAGATATTGTTGTGATGTCACTAGGTCAAAGAACTAGGTTATGTGCTGTGTACTAACTAGCTCATTTCGAAATTTTTCAAGTTATCATTACGATTGTTGACTTTTATTCCGAATTTTATTGAAAAGGCATCATGGAAGACGGATTCGTAAAAGCGAGTTTATTACTTCGCTTTTAGCACTAATGTTATAGATATTATAATATAAGCTTAGGTGAGAAAAGCTTTTTGTTATATTTTTTGTACAAACCCTCAGACGAAATAAAAAGTTACTTTTTTATTTGGTCTGAGTACAAACCATGTCTTTATTCCCATATAATAGAAGAAAACAGGAATTAAGTAAAACACTGCACTGCACTTGCAAGGGCTTTCAAAATGGCCCATAAAGGGCGGGACAGACGAGCGATTAACCTAATCTATTACGAAATTTGATTTACAATAGGTACCTATCATGTCATGATGTTTTGTTTTGTTTAATCGATAGTTAAATATAAGTCATAATTACATTAAAGTGATCTCCACAGAAGTATAGTTTAGATTTTGTAGACAATGCCTTCGGGTCTCTTCTTGCCAGTTTTAACCAAGTACTTCTCATATTTAAATCAGTTGGCACTTTAATCCATAAACACCCGGCGTTCTTATGCTCGTGTTTTTGCAATCAGGCACAAAACAACAATGATATAGATGATAACTCATTATTAAACATTCAAAAGTATCTTATTCCTTTGCAAAATTGTCAAAATTCTAAGACAGTGACGTCACGAGTTGAACAGTATGGCGGCTAGCGGTTTCTTGCAAAAATTTAAAACGATAGATTAAAAGTAATTTTTATGTCACTATTCGGTTTTAAAAAATTTATATAAAATTATAGTGGTTCATTATCACTCTAGGATTCATTTAAAACACTTTTTGAAAATGGGTGTAATACCCTATTGACAAGTACTGGTTTTAATAAATATTTCTTATCTTCTTTTCTACTCTAAGTAGAAAATAAAAATATGATTAAACTTGCTGAAATTTTGCAATTCTTTTATAAAATAAATACGATTCAGTAAACCTGCCAAATAGGCCGAATGCCGAATATAAAATGAATATTTGGCCCATCTCTAGTAAATAATATAATAATGATTAAGAAGTTCAATTAATAGATTTGCAGTAAGTCCAATAATCAAAAATAATTGGATTCAATATCAATAATCAAAAACTGCTGATCTTAATTCTTCTACTTAAATTCCATACCATAATGTTAATGTAGGCACAAAAAAAAAAGTTTTAAGCTTTTAAGCCTGTCACAAATTTTAGAAGTTTTCTGACAGATAAATTTTAACATGACACTATATTTTTTTACTAGACCCTGCAGACTAAGAAATTCTGTCTGCTTCTAAAGCTCTCCTGATGCATGTCAACTGCAGGCCAAAAATTTGTCTAGTTGGAATGTTGGGAGGTGTGCTGTCAATATATTTTGTACTAAAAGCCAAACACCATTAGGAATTCCAAGTATAAGCCCATGTGATGTGTATTTTGAGTTTGAGACTGAATATAAAATTTCAGATATTTAACTAAAATTAACCTCTATAATGTTAAACTTAATTAAAAATACATAATTAATATTTTAATTGTATTGTTAACTAGATTTCATTGTGTAAATAAATAACTCAATGATAGTTACTTTGGTTTATACCAGGGGTGCCCCATAACAAAGTACACATCACAAGTCCCATCACAAGTTTACTTCTGAACATAGGTGTCCCCCAAGGAATGCTACAAAGTGTATGGTCTTTTACTATTTCTTACTAGTTGGTACCCGGCGCGTACCAAGAAATAATTATGACGAGAAATAATGAGGATATATAATTTTATAAATTTGGAAGAGTTAAATTCTTTAATTAGGAATGATAATAAATTCATTGAAATTGAATGATTTATAACTTTTAAACAAATTTGTCACTAGGATATGCACCCCACCTAGTGTAAGTTATTTGTACTATGCCTATAACCTTCAAGCATATGCAAGCAATAAGTTGACAAAATTTTACCACTATCTGATGAATGGTATGTCAGCACATAAAATACAAACACATAAATATATATTAATTTTTATATAATAGATTTACATAACAAATTTGTCACATGTTATACAAAACCTTACTGACACATTGTATGCAGATGACAGATCATTAAAATTTAAAGACAACTGAAAATCTGGAACACTTAGTGAAGTAAATTATGCCCTAAGAAAGAAAGAAACAACTTTTTGCACAGAATACAGGTGGTACCAGATTTAACAATGGCGCATAGTTCAGATTATATTCTGCCTGTATTGGGCATGCAAATTTTTATAATTATATAAAACAAAATACTATTATATTACTAACAAAATGTCAAGCTATATTATTATTTATCATATTTATTATTATTGTGTTACATTATATTAAATTTTACTAATAATCACATACATTAGTTTTATGTTGCATGAACTCTTCTATCATATAAAAGCACTTATCCACAAGCCATTTTCTTAACTTAATTTTAAAATATTTAAAAGGAAGTTCCCTTAGACTCTTAGGCAGTTTATTAAAAAGTGATATGCACATAATGTGATTAGCATTCTTTTTATTTAAAGTTGTGCTACAAATTGGACCCTAGACAAAATTTTGGATTGGTTCCAGTTAAAATTGAACATTACATAATATAAAAGTACCTAAATGTCTAAATAATACTAGGACAGTAACAGACAATAAGTTGTATTTCATTTTTATTATATTTATTTCATTTATTAAATATTCCTTCTTTAAATAATGCCCCTGCTGATGTAAAATATTATATTGTATGTGTTAGAACTAGCAGGTAATACATCAGGAAAGGTTAATTGTTAAAAATAGTAAAGTGTAAGAGCGGATGTTAAACTTGCTCTCTTGCTTACGCAATTAATTCCTTGCCTGCACTAGAAGAACCACTTTAACGGCATCTACACTGAACTTATACTGCACAAACGAGGGGGGGGGGGGGTTTCCCGATATACCCTCAATTCCAACTCGCCACCATTGATATGACGCTCCGCTAGAGGAACACAACCTCTTGCTCACTCTGGATCCGACTGGTATTTTATAGATGTGCCTACATATGTCTTTATAATTAAGGCTTTAGTGATTTGCTCAGGTAAAAGTAGGTTGATAGGAAGCCAGGGTATATTATATAAACTCTTATGTATATATCATCATTACTTCCAATAAAAGTTCACAGCTAAACATAGATTGCCTTAGATTACTTGGCTGGTTTATTAGTTGTTATTAGGAAGATGCTGCTGCCAATCTCATGGTTTATTTCCCTGCATTGCCTGTTATGACTCCTATGGGATGATATACTATAATAATATATACAAATAAATAAAATTGAAGTGTCCGTTTGTAATGTCAAAATAACAGCTTTTTACTAAATGCATATGAAAGTATATATGGTACTTATAACAAAAACACAATTTTTAAAATTATTGTCTGTCTGTCTCTTTGTTCCGACTAATCTCGGAAACGGCTGGACCGATTTTGACGGGACTTTCACTGGTAGATAGCTAATATTATAAGGAGTAACTGAGGCTACTTTTATTTTAGAAAAAGATTTAGGGTTCCGCGCAAAAAAATTAAAACGAAAATACACGCGGGCGAAGTCGCGGGGTACAACTAGTAATATAAATATAAGTTCAAATTAAATTTTGGTTTTACTTTTGCAGAATCCAATGACTGATCCAGGAATGATGACAGACATGCTGAAAGGGAATGTTACTAATGTGCTTCCAATGATTGTCATTGGAGGTTGGATCAATTGGATGTTTAGTGGATTTCTTACAAGTTGGTATTATGTTAAAGTTTTCTTTAAAACTAAATTTTTAACTAATATATAGCCCACTGCTGGGCACAGGCCTGCTCACACTTTTGAGTTTTTCTTCAATATTTTTATTCCTCAAACATTCTGGCTTTTTCAAGTTTACCTTCACCATTGAGTAAGTGGTAAATTAGTACTTAAATTTGCAATTAACAGTTGACCCAGATTGCTCACGTATGCCATCCACTACTATATACGGCCGAGCAGGCATGTTTTTTTTACTGACATGCAGTAAGATAGATAAGAGGTGTCGTATCAGGTTGATACCACTAACTTATCTTAAAATCTTATGGGGTATAAAAATTAAGAAACTCCTTTGCACCACTGTTCGTTAGAAGGATATCAGCTGGGCAGCCGAGGTGACATTCTACAGTTGTTAATGCTAATAGAGAATTATAAAATGAATGGGAATGACTTAACTTTGCTTAAATTAATTTTTATAGATTAATATTAGAATCTCGATGCCATGGCAGCCTTAAAAGTAATAACCCGTTCCTACTTTTTTTTTAAATGTTACCCCCACACTAGGATTTTCTCCTGTATTGCAGAGGCAGCTTACAAACACAATTCTTTCAGCATTTAAAAGGTACATAGTTTTAAATGGACATAGACAATTTATTATGTATACATATATATTATGGTTAAAGGTTATGATGATATTCGTCAAATAAGTCAAAAAAAGAGGTGCCTCTTGAGAGCTTCCACAGTGTGTGCTCTCAAGCGGCACTAATATCTGGGTCAATAGTAAAAGTTGCACGAAAATAATATATTACTAATTGTTTCTCTTGAAAAGTTCTAAATAAAAAATTCTATTTTTTATATTATTCGTGAGAGCATATGTCTATTCTAATAGCATATATATACACACACACATATACAGGGTATTTTTGGAACGCTCCCGTAAACTAAGACAGGCGACAGCACCAAGTATACCTTTGATCATGGGTTACAAATAAAGTCGATCCTGATGAAAAAAAAATCATCTTTTAACAACGTTTTATTAGCTTTATTCACGCGCCATCATGTTAGTACAGCTAAATGAAACGATAATTTCATAAAAAATATGAAAATACTGAAACATAAAACCAGCAGTGGAAACTGAATTGATATCACCTGACTAATGGAGGTTAATGTACGCGCGAACGGTGAAAAACAAACGCTGGCCTTGAACTTGGGCACTGAGCGATTTATCACATATTGGTACGAAAGGCGCGCGACGGGGGAACAATCCGCCAGTATTAGTGTGCCTGCATGCTATTGGTTCCCGCGCTTTGTTCGCTCCAAAAATACAGTCGCATACACATCTTACTTTGCGACTCGCGACGATGTTTTAAAAAGGAAGGAAAGAAAAATTATTTATATCTATTGTTTTATGACTAAACTAGTGATCGAAAAGGTAAATATGATAGAAGGTGAATGGGGAAAATTGTGCAGTAAAGTTAAAAGTGTGGAGGAAGAATACCGAAAAAATTACCATGTGATCGACCTGATGACGGAAGCTCAAGCGAAGATGAAAGTGATGATGAAGTAGCATCCAGTAACACCAACACACCATTAACATCTGGCTTCCATGTGACCCAAGACGTCATAATGGACGGCGTGTTACCCTTAGCTAAAGTTTTCTTGTTACAAACTACTTTCTATTTTACGATAGAAATAACAAATAATGCTCATGTAAACATTATCCATTTTTAATTCCCACCTCTTCCAAAGTTCTAAGTAGCTAGTAAAACACCTATTATGATTCAACATTAAAACAATTAATTACTATAATATTATAAAACAATAGCCCAATACCATGTAGTACTTTAGAACGCGACTGTACCCACACCCCCTCCGCTATCGACCTGTATCTAGCTCGGTACGAAACAATGCTGCGGTCGTAAGAAAAAAGGGCGCATCTAACAATTTAAGAATAAATGAGTTAAATATACCATTCGATTCATGATAAGAAGGCGCATCTACTAATTTTTTTTAATATTCACAAATATCAATATTTTAGAAATTATCCTAAGAATTTTAGACGTAACTGTTGATCACAGATGACTTTTTTTTAGTAGAAAAGACATACAAATTCAACATAAAAGAAAAGACTTATTTAACCAGTTGCTACGTCATCTTTAACAATATTTGCATCGATTACTTAAATTTCAATTATTCTTGGTCTTGTCTTATTATTCTATATCTTATTATTAAGAGCTTATATCTTATTGTTAAGAGCTGGTGTTTCACATGTGGTCCCATATAAATTTGATCGAGGTCAGACCAATAGTTTTTGAGTTATCCTTAATTATTTATATTAAAGTCGGTTGTACAAAATTTTTAATTTTTAATTATTATCGTAGTAAGTCTTGTATGATATCCCCTTTAAAATCATTACTCAAGAGTTGCGGGTTGTTATTTTTTGTGTCTCACTACCAATGCTTTTCTAATATTTATTAAAAAAAAAAAGTAGTAAATTACTATTAGCGTCCTTTCAACTTCAAATGACCTTTCCAAAATATGTAAAATTGTTAAATGAATGGCAGTTTTTTTTTAATTTATTAGGTTGGAAAGACGCAAATAGTTATATGCGTCTTTCCTTCGATGTTTTTGTGTTGCCAGGTGTATTTTTTAAGCTAAGATGAAAAGGAAAATTCGTTTTATTTAAATAAATAAACAAATTATCAAAAAATTTGTTCGTCCTTAAAATCTTCATGTCTCTACGTATATATTTCAATTTTCATATAGATACCTTTTAATATACTTTAGACACAGGGTCTGAAAGAAAAATTCATCAATTTATTTTTTATTTCCATTTTACGTTTTTGTTAGTTGCGTCCTTCTTTGTGTAACCCGACGACGGCAGAATGTAACCCGGCCGGCTCGTGTCGCCTCACGCTGTGACGCAGTAGACAAAGAGTATAATAACTGTCCTAGCAGTAGGTTTCAGTTTTGTTGGGGTTCGTTATTAATTGTAGTTTTTGAAACAGTTCCGTGTTGATTTTGTACACGCGTGCGCGAGCGACAGCTCAATCGTATTGTTATTACTTGTGATTACGTGTTGGTATTATTCTTGTTGTTACGTTTTTTGTTTTAATAATGCTTAACGCGTACTTTTATAGTGATTGTGAATACAGCAACATGTTATCCGAACCCAGGTACACGAAGTATCGCCAAATAAATTGTTAAGACGTCGGGATGGAACAAGTGTGTCATACTGTGCAGTGCACAAAGTGTTGAAGCGTAACCGAATGTGCCCATACAAATTGCACAAAGTGCAAGCTTTAGTTCCCGGCGATCACGACCGCCGACGAGTTTTCTGCCGTTGGTTATTATACCAGCGACAACGTGTGCCTGGTTCCATTGAGCACATTATCTGGACAGATGAGTCGACATTTACCAGAAACGGCCTGTGGAACCGAAGAAATACACACGTGTATTCAGAGGTTAACCCGCACGCTGTTCGACAAACCGGGCACCAAACCCGATGGTCGGTTAACGTATGGGCAGGTTTATTTAAGGATCGCATACTGGGACCAGTGTTTCTGCCACAGCGACTGAACAGACAGCGATACCATGTCGTGAGGTTCGTCCGTGAGCGCCTCAATGAGCTATTTGATGATCGCTGGATCGGCAGACTAGGACCACACGCTTGGCCACCTCGCTCACCAGATCTGACCCCGTTAGACTTCTTTTTGGTATGTGAAAGAAAGGGTTTTTAATCGTGAGTGTGATAGTGCTGACAAAATGCGCCAAAGGATCGTGGATGCTTTCGAGAAACTATGTACGGACTGTGTCGAAGACCACACGATGATGCCCCGCCTGCACCCAAATCTACCTTGAAATAAATGGAGCACAATTTGAGCTGCATCTCATAAGACCACGGAGGATTTAGAGCGGTAAGCTGTTTCATAACTATTTTTTTTAACTAACTTAGTACTGAACTAATCTGAATAGGTACATAACTGAATACATGAGAATAATAAACATACCTACACGATGAATAAAAACGCATGACTCCAACCTTGGTTACATTTCATTTAAGTATTTTTTCATTAGCGTATGTAGTGGTATGGCCCGCTAGTTGCGGGCCGCGCGAATTTGCGTTCGCGAGTACATTGACCTTTAGTCAGGTGATACAATTCAGTCATTCCACTGCTGGTTTTATGTTTCAGTATTTTCATGATATTTTTTATGAAATTATCGTTTCATTTAGCTGTACTAACATGATGGCGCGTGAATAAAGCTAATAAAACGTTGTTAAAAGATGATTTTTTTTTCATCAGGATCGAATTTATTTGTGACCCATGATCAAAGGTATACTTGGTGCTGTCGCCGGTCTTAGTTTTCGGGAGCGTTCCAAAAATACCCTGTATATCATCATCATTCATCATCATTACAGCCCTTCACAAGTCCACTGCTGAACATAGGCCTCCCCCAAAGAATGCCACAAAGCACGGTCCTGAGCCACCTGCATCCATCGACTTCCTGCATGTCTTACCAGGTCGTCACTCCATCTCGTGGGGGGACGCCCTACACTTCGCCTACCGGTACGAGGCTGCCACTCGAGAACCTTTCTTCCCCATCGGTTGTCGGTTCTTCTAGCTATATGGCCGGCCCACTGCCACTTCAGCTTACTAATTCGTTGGGCTATGTCGGTTATTCTGGTTCTACTGCGGATATCCTCATTCCTAAGTTTATCACGCAGAGAAACTCCGAGCATAGCCCTCTCCATAGCTCGCTGAGCGACCTTGAGCTTCCTCATACGGCCAGCAGTGAAGGACCACGTCTCAGTTCCGTAAGTCATCACTGGCAACACGCACTGGTTGTACAATTTCGTTTTAAGGTTTTGAGGTATGTCTGACGAGAAGATGTGTCGTAGCTTCCCGAACGCTGCCCAGCCGAGTTGAATCCGTCGATTGACCTCTCGGTCGAAGTTGGACTTACCTAGTCGGACTATTTGTCCCAGGTAAACATACTCGTC